TTTGCGGCTTACGCCGTCGTATTTCAATGATGGGATGGGCTGCTCAGGCGCAGCGTCTCCGAAGCAGCGTTCAGAATCAGCCAGCTCAGACTGCAAGATGATGTGTCAGGCCTTCATTTCCGTGTCTGTGGCGGGGTCTGTGTAGTCAAACCTCGGATAAGGCTTCCTCGGACAGGCCTTAAGCTGGCTTGCTGCGAAAGACATGGATGCCTGTGCGTACACGTGTTATGGTTGTTGGGATCCATCCAGCCTGCACCTAGTTGATTTTCATAACACGGGTTATTCAGTACAAAGCGCGCACGATCACTTTGCCATGACAAGAATGGTTACAGTCAGGCCTGGCTCATGGCCCAGTCCGACCAGACGAATGGCCCAAGGAAGGATTCTTCCGGACCCGGCAAAGACCCCAGGAATCTATGGATAATGGAAAATAAAATGGAAACTACTATAGTATATTGGGGATATATTGGGATAATGGAAAAGAAAATGGAAACTACTATAGTATATTGGGGATATACTGGGAAAATGGAAAATAAAATGGAAACTACTATAGTAACTGTACCAATATCTGGGTAGGCCCCTGGAATATTTAACTGCTCGAAAGTGCAGCCTGAGCAACTCAGCTCCGTGGGTGCGAATAGTACACTCCTTCAGGGGTAAGGTCTATTGGGATAATGGAAAAGAAAATGGAAACTACTATAATGGGTTATAGGGATTATAGGGTATACATTGGGGTAATATTGGGATAATGGAAAATGAAATGGAAACTACTATAATGGGTTATATAGGGATTATAGGGTTTATATTGGGGTAATATTGGGATGATGGAAAAGAAAATCTTAATGGAAAATCAAATGGAAAAGAAAATGGAAAATGAAATGGAAACCCTGAACCCTTATTGTTATCACACTCCTTCAGGGCAAAAGGCGGGTAAGGTAAGGTCAGCCCCCTGCAATCAGCATTTCAAGTGGCCATCCCAATATTACCCCAATATATACCCTATAATCCCTATATAACCCATTGTAGTAGTTTCCATTTTATTTTCCATTATCCCAATAGACCTTTCCTCCTGCTCCTGCCTGGCTTCCAACTCCTACTGACGCCTCGAAATAGGAAAGGTGCGTGGCATAAGCCCCTAGGCATTCTGCTTCACCATCTTATTGTCGAGATTCGTGATTTTTCGGTTCCCAGGTTGAGCCCCCCCACGACCCTAAATACTTCGAGCTTTGCCTTCTGACTGCATTTAGTATCATCATGTACTTCTCTGTAGTTCGCATCATGAACCACTCTGGTGGCACAACATCTTCTTCAGTGTGAAAGTCACTGAGCAGAAGCATCCAGAAGCGTAAGGAAAGCGTATGTGCTCCCAGCTGGTGGCTCCATGTCCCAGCGGTTTGACCCCAGCCTTGTTTCCCATCGGGGTCTTCCCCGTGAGCTCGATGGTGTCACCAGATTGCGCGATGTGAAATTCCTAAGGTAGTGGGACTTCAGCGCCCGAAGTCCCTCCCAACCACCTAGTATCCCTTCTCGTGAATAGGTACAACAACTCTCTCTGGGGTTTCCCCCTCCCCACTAAGTAGTTGCAAGTTTTGGCACCAAAGTTACCATGCAGGCGGACATGATGCTTTCAAGTAGTGTTGCACTGGACTGTGTATAGACCTTGTTTAATGTGTTCTGGAAGGCCCCTTGTTCCATTTCAGCCAATTGTTTGAAGACCATGCTTGGTGTTTTACCTGTTTTCGTTTTGGGGCCCTAGAAGAATTCAGACCATCTCCTTTGAAGTTCTCCCCAGAGCCCTTGTCACAGCGCAGGACGCCAGAACGCCTCTTTTCTGTCTTTCTAAGGCCCTATTGCTAGGCGCGACCCTAGTTTAAACTCAGTGCAGCATGAAGCAAATACTATGGTAAGAGTGCAGCTGTACGAGCTAGCCAGTCCTGCCTGAACCTCACAAGCTCAAGAATATTCAGAGGACTTCCCCGAATGATCTACTTTTACTGCTACTGCTCCGCAAGGTAAAGGTTACCCTAAAGCGTCGACCCGCAAAAACTGACACTAATGAGTCAAAGCAGCCATCACGTTGACTCCATAACCGATACCGTACCTGAACCGCAAGAAGGGCCGACTGCCAATTGCGGCTCTAGGCTTCCTTCACGTTCATGGTTTGGTCTCCCAAAAAGGTTTAGGCAGGGATTATGCTTAGGTTCCAGGCTAGACCAGAGGCCTGGGGCATTTAGATCTTAGAACCGCTCACCCACAAAGACCCGCACCCTCGCGGCCCCTGGACCCCCACCCCAGCCAGACCCCCGCAGCTCCGCACATGTCTGTCGAGGCGGCACTTATGCTAGCGTTTGAATGAAGGATTGACGGTCACCGACCCCCGAGAACATGAAAACGGCGCCTGCCAAAAAAGTGAGTTGTGTCGTCCATGGGTCTTGAGAAGACTCTACCTAATTGAGCAAGATGCAATCTGCCAGCCCTCCAGTCCCATAGTGGCCCCAGGTTGTGGACTTCCCTTCCAGTTGCAGCGCAGCTCAACCTACAAAGCAGCCCTGCAAAGCAGCATCTCCACAGTAGGGAATGAACCGGTGCTTCATGCGGCCACTTACGCACGCAATGCATGTGGTAGGGGTTGTGCAGTAAAGTGGCTCTGCAGGACCCACACGCAGAAATCTCAGCCCTCAACACGAGACTAGACCTGACAGCTCAACCTCTAAGGGCGCCAACGGTCAATGTTGGATGTGAGGCCTAAGCCTGAAAGCCGGAGATCCTTTACTTCGGATAGGTGTGTAGCTCTTGGATAGGCCCACCATCAAATCGCTAGTGTTGGAGGGAGCACAACGATGTGCCCTGTGGCAATATAGTTTCAGGTGTGATGTAGCACGGCAGCAAGTCCTTCAGGCATTTGTTGGCGTCCACACTCCCTCAAAACCCCTACATGCTGCAACTTGACAGAGCCAGGCACATCATCGTGCGCTTCATGTAGCCCACCCCCATGTCTTCCAGAATCTTGTCGATGTCTCCCTCCACGCTGTCCTGCTGCAAACTGCTGCCGGTGGCAAGGGTCCAAGTGCAGCCTCAAAAAGATGCTCCACACCTTGAAGGAATTTTGGATCAAGTCTAAGGTGCCTCTCAAAGGTTTCATGATTTGCATTCTAGAAGAAAGCTTCGTGCAGTGTAAAAAGATGCTGGTAGTTACAACGATATACAACGTGAGGGGAATGAGCGTGTCTTCTGGCTGTGAATTTTGGATCCCATAATGGAACAAGCGGTCCATGATCCACTCGCCGCTGAGATTTCCCATTTGTTGCGTCTGGGTGTGCTGTCTACGTCCGCTGGCACCCTAGCGCCTGAAACCAGACAAAGACTGTACAGGCCAACGGCTGAGGCCAACGGCAGCAGATCCAATCCAACTCCTGATTTCTCGGATGATGTGTCACGCTCAGTAATCTCTTTCACCTAGCGGATGTTGAGCAACTTGCACCCTACATCGAGTAGCATAAGGATAGCTGTCAACATTGGGATGAAAGAGTGGAACTTAGGCTCAGGAAGAGGGGTGACTGTTGTTCAGGGATGTTGCCTGTATCTGACACACACACACACACACCACACACATCTTGAGCACCAGTGAGAGCAAGAGGAGAAAAATGCCTGTGCAGGCAGGACTAGGTCGCCCCATCTTTGCTGCAGTGTTTCAACCTCCTTTACTTCGGTGCTCACAGCCTTTCAATGGTCCCAGGATCAAGACGCGGGAAGCCATCCCAGGTGCAAATCCCAAATCGTGTGAATTATAGACTTTGGACACTTGCACAAGCACGATACGATGTACAAGTTTAATGCGCAGCGAAGTCGGCGTAGGCAAATGTTGCAGGATTGGGCCTCATGATAGCCACCTGTTCTCAAAGTTCTAGAAGTTTCCAGAATCCGAAAAAAAAAGAAGTGCAGCTAGCATTCAGAAACTGTGGTCGGCCCTCTAGTGGTTGAACAGCTAGCTCAGGTTTGCAGAGACTCAAACACCACTCGGCTTCGTCAAGCCCCCTATCGTAGGGACACCACACAGCCAATGAATTTGTAGCAACTAGCCATGCATGTGCCCACTTTCCAACGCCTTGCTCACTTTGAGACGCTCGCTCCTTTCCATAGTACTAGGCTGCTCTAGCGAACATTGTGGAACATGCAGGAGAGCATCAGATAAGAGATCTAGGGTTCATTCCAGGGCTTGCTGGTGCTGAAGCGTATTTGCGCGAGGCTACGATCTGCCTTGCGGTCTTGAGTTGGGCTTCCTTTACAGATCATTGCAAAGAGTTTGTCAGAGATGTGTAGCAAGACTTCGAGGCCCCGTGAGTCACACCGCCGCAAACACACTGTAATCTTAAACCTTCCCGCAGCGATCTTATCTTTACTTCTGTCCTTTCCAATCCAGTGCAAGGGTGCGGCCAACGGTTGTGGTTGATGGTGGGGATTGATTACATCGACCATCTCCTGGAGTCTTAAGGAGAGTACGGCTATGTGGGCATTCTGATGCGCTCCCTGCACCTGTACAGTTGCAGATCTGAGAACTCTGGGTATTATTCAGATCCTCAGACTGCAAGTTGGAACACAGTAAGGAGATGGCCAAGTCTCAGCAGCTGAAATAGAGTCCCCCATACTCCGCCTACATCTTACAGCTTCTCACGAAGGATGAGGCTCATCTCAGGGAGGCTGGAGGCATCGGTCCTGCAGCGTGACCAGCCAGGCATGCGTTCACTGATGAAGGCGTCAATCCTGCATTGCCCTTCAACACTTGTGACGCTGGCATCCTGTTTCAGAGGGGCCTTATAGCTGGGGATGCAATCGGGGGCTTTGAGGCTTGAAAACCTCTGCGCTAGACCACATTGGACGCTGCAGCCCTGATGAACATCTGTAAACGGCCTGAGTTAATGGAACTCCTTTGAGGACCCGTCGCCCACTGTTCCATGCTGATCGTGAACATGTTTCTAACCGTCACCAGCCAAGTCGCGCAGCTACTTCCTGCGCATCGTTCGCACTGCCTTCGCCTCAGTTGAGCTGCAAAGCAACTAGGCTGGGGATTGCATCAAGTCGTCCGGTGCTGGCTTTCTCAGATTGGAGCAGTCTTGGCCCTATGGTTTCGGCTGGCTGGGGGTTTTGAGTGAAGTCTGATGCCAGGAAATTCCGGTTGATCTAACTCAATGCCAAAGACGACCCCAAGGAAATAGCTTTACTTCCAGGTTGTGCGGAGCACCTAGACTTTCACAAGATTCAAAATCGTCTACCTCGAATGGGGCTATCAAGACGATGCCGAGTGAATCCGTGGAACCCCAGGCTAGCCCCCATGAATCCGTGAAATTCCAAACTCAGCCGGAGTCGCCCCACTGCAGGTAGTGGTCTCCAGGACCAAATTTCCTTGACACTTGCTAGGCGCTCATTTTCTCTTGAAGTTGTGGAGAGGCTGCTGTGGACCAGGGGAATATACAGTGCCTCAAGGAAAACTACTGGTGGGAAGTCATATGCATAAACGTCCGGACTGCCCAAGGGGTTTGGAGGGGTAAATTTGCCAAGTTCCAACGATAAGGCTACGGAACTCTCAAATTTCGGCTCATTCACTCATAGCGGAAACTAGGGGGAATAGCTTGTGTCTGGCAAGTCTCCGAGGCAAGCCAAGGTCCGGAATCCAGGGCTAAAGGTCTCTTCGGATGCAGATTCCGGCGTCTCTCAAGCCAGGGACGAAGCCCTGAAATTCAGGCCCGAGCACCCCGAGAGAAAACTTACTGAGACATACGGTGTCCATGGCGAATACATGCGAATATTGCGCCTGGGGCCCAAGCACAAACCCGAAGCTCCGAATGCCGATGTTTGCCAAACAGTCCACATTGAAATGACGCGCCCTGCTGTGTTTCAAACTTGCACCGAAACGCTGGGATGCCCGCAAACCATTCTCACTGTGGCCAAGGAGCCATAATCGTCGATGAAGCGGCGCGACTCTTCCTGCAACACCATGCAATTCTGCACACTGTCCACTCTCTGCGGTTCGCAATCAGAAGTGGCTTGCCTACAAGCTGCCAAACCATCATGAGGGTCATACGCAAGGCCCCGGTCATTCCGGTGTCGAATACAGCTATGCTTAAACCAGTTCTGCAAAAACTCTCTCGCCGGAGAAACATTGCAGAGCATTAATCCTTTTATCTTTTTGGACTTGCATCGATTGTATGGCCAGTCACGTCTGTTCTAGGATGCCTAGGGCCTAGCTGTCTGGCGCATGTTGCTATAAAATATGAAGCAGTCTGAGCTTTCATGCGGCCGGCAGGATGAATAAGCCTTGTGACAAGCGCATAAGAAGACCCTATGATGTTGACGTGTGTTTGTATGCTTGTGGTTGGCATCCGGTTTCCGCCGCTGAAACCTACAAGTATGAAAGAACATCCCCTGACGCTGCTGTAAACCAGTTTTAAGGCCTGAGGAGATGCGCGCACTTCTGGTGATGGAAGTGAATATAGCTGCTTGCGAACCTCTCAACCCTCCGAACCCCAGTCTGCAAAGGCCCCCAATGCTTGTTCTACCTCTCTTGAACCGCCCAGATTTGAGAGGTGAGAGTTCACAAGGCCTTGTCGGTCTTCAGAACCAGCACGGGGCCCTCCCAAAATGCAGTAGCCTGCATGTGGGAATTTCTCCACATCAGGGTCCGCTTTGGGGACTGTATATGATTGCTTCGATGACTATAGCTTTAAGATACAGTTGGCCGCCCCATTGGGTATGTCTTAAAGCGGGTCTTTTGAACCCAGATGGCAGGACACTTCTTCCAACATTCTTTCCAAACAACAAGTAAGCTTCTCTGGCAGAATTTCTTATCGCATGTGCGCTTGGCTTTGAGTGTTAATGAGCTCCAGGTGCAAATTTCCGGTGGTCTGAAGGTTGGTGTTGTTGAGAGCTCTGAGATTGAAATTTGGATGGTTGAGTCAAGTTCACTCTAGCCATGCATCCCGAAGATACCTATAAAGCCTTACCCTAAACTTCGCAAGATGAGGAAAGTTGCCGTTTCAAAAGCAGACAGGGATGAGCGACCAGCGTTCGTTCTCAAGTTCGAGCTGGACCTTGGAAATTGTGGACCTGGGAGTTAATAGGTGTACCAGCTCATTCCGCAAACAATGTGCCAGCGGTGCTTGTGTTGCGAGTGGTTGGAATATCTCCGTGCACGTGGGGCAGCAGTTCCTTCGAATGTTGCCACTTCGGCAGTCAACCATTCGGCGGCTTACGTCAGCATAGTTCTAAGTGAAAGGATGGGCTGCGCAGGCGCACTATCTGAATCAGCGATTAGAATCACTTGCCAGTTTACGCTTGTAGGCTTCCAAAAATTGCCGGCACCTTCGGAGGTGTGAGATATCTTGTCTCAACATCCCAACAACTGCTGAACAGCCATCAGCTCATGATTTTAACTGACAAAGCCTTCATCTCCTCGTCTGTGGAGGGTTCTGTGTAGTCAAACCTCAGATAAGGCTTGTCAGAGTGTACGTGCACTTTGTCTGCGATGCAAGAACATGGATGCCTGGCCACACATGTGAAATATGTTCGTCGGGGTCCAGCCAGCACCGTGCCTGCACCTAGCTGCTTTTGTGACATCAAGATGACAATGAAAACAAGACCAGGCGAAGCCCCGAACAAGGATTTGGGGACCTGCTAGCGCGCCCGAAACTGGCAATACTCATGTCATTATCATGGATCTGCCAGAAAGTGCAGCCTGGGAAACTCAGCACCATGGGCGAGAATTGTACACTCCTTCAGGGCCGGCATGTGTATGCTCAAACTCCTATTGATATGATACGGATACGCCACGAAATAACAAGAATTCTGAGTAAGGGTATCCTATCAGTGCGTACACTAGGAAAGGTCCGCGGCATAAGCCTCTACAGATTATGCTTCAACAATCTGATCGTCGAGATTCATGATTTTTCGGTTCCCAAGAGGAGCAGCCAGCAACCCTAAATACATCAAGCTTTGCCTTTGCCTTCCGACTACATCTTCCAAGGATGTCTTCAGCGTTGCACCACATTGGATTGATGAGTCCCCTTTACTTATTTGGAGACCTCGCATCATGAACCGCGTTTGTATGGTTAGGCGATAATGCCTTCTTCAGTGCTAACATCACTGAGTACAGAGCGCACAAACATGTATGGAGCATGTTGTAGGCTGTCCCAGCTGGCGCAGCAGCGTGGAACTATCGTCTACGGCAGGCAGCCAGAATATTCTCCCGCACGCTCCTACAATGCAGCGATTTGACTCTGGCAGCCTTGTCACCAATGGGGGTCTTCGCTGAAAGATGTATGGTGTCGCCAGACTGCGTGACTTCGAATTCCTTAGGCACGGGGACTTCAGCGCTCAAATCCCTAAACCCCAAACGCCAACACTCGAAACCCTAAAGCGTACTTAGCCTGCGTCAGCGTAGTCCCACCCCACCACTCATCATCCTTCCCCAGACCAGTGGCAACAAGCTGCTCTGAGGAGCCCCACCGAACAACCCAGAATTAATTACGGAGGGCAGACTTGATGCTTGCGATGGCAGACATTCTATGGCAAGATTAAAGTTGCTAGCTTGAGGCATGGCCAGTCTTGCCTGGCCGTCATGAAGCTGCCAAGGACAACTAGCGGACGCGCCGGGATGATTTTCTGGACTAATAATGGGGTTATATAGCTACAATAATAGGGATATTACCCCCAATAATGGAGAATCAAATGGAAAAGAAAATGGAAAATGAAACGGAAAATGAAATGGAAACTGGGGTTATATAGGGGTTATTTGGTAGAGAGCTGATACTGTTCCCCAGTAGTACATGGACGCACAGATAGCCAGATGCAACGAAAACCTTCCAATGCTTGGTCAAAGCAGCCAACTCATCAACTCCATAACCCCAAGCATACCTGAGCTGCAAGAGGGGCTGGCTGCTAGTTGCAGCTTACAGGGCTTTCTCCACGTTGATGGTTTGGAATCATCTGAAGCGCGGAAGGCATATTCCAGGAACATGATTGAGTTCCAGGCTTGTCCTGCAAAAGGCCGTGTACGCATTTCTGAGATGCGTCAGCTACAGAGAAAACTGTGGATTGACGGACACCCATCTCCCGAAGACATCTAAACGGCGCCTGCCAAAAATATTTAGTTGTGTCGTCCAAGGGTCTTCAGAAGACTCTGTTAATTCGAGCATGCTGCAATCTGCGGGCCTATCTAGTCCCATCCAGAGGCCGCAGGTCGTGACTTTCCCTTCCACAAATTATATACAGCGCAGCCCAACCTACAAAGCAGCCCTGCAAAGCAGCATCTCCACAGCAGAGGATGAACCGGTGCTTCATCCGGCCACTTACGCCCGCAATGCATGTGGCAGGTGTTGTGCGGTAAAGTGGCTCTGCAGGACCCACACGCAGAAATCTCAGCCCTCAACACGAGACTAGACCTGACGGCTCAACCTTGAATGCGAGGCCTGAGCCTGAAAGCCGGAGATCCTTTCCTTCGGATATGTGTTGGGCGTGCACGTTCCCTCAAAACGTCTGCTGCAAATTGCTAGAGCCAGGGCACATCATGGTGCGCGTCATGTAGCCCACGCCCAGGTCTTCCATAATCTTGTCGATGTCGCCCTCCACGCTATCCTGCCGCAAACTGTTGCCCCTGGCAAGGGTCCGGCTTGGGCCCCAAAATCATGTATTGAAGAGCTCCAATGGTCATTCTAAAAATTGGCGGTGAAGATGTGTGTGCAACTATGATACTCCACACCTCAAAGCAAGTCTGGATCGGGCCTAAGTTGCCTCTCAAACATCGTAGCTAGGCAGGAAGACAAGGTTGAGAGCTCCCACTCAGAGCAATTCCGTTCGAATGGAGGCATTGGACTTTCAACTTGATGAAGATTGGCAAAAGACAGTGTCAAAAAATGTGCTGATGATCACAACAATGTATAGCTGCTACTGCTATTTCAACATGTGAGGGGAATAAGCAGGTAAACGGCACAACACGAAACAACTGCAGAGCTTCCGGCTGTGAATGTCAGATCTCGCATTTCAACAAGCTCAGTCCAGGATCCACTCGCCGCAGAGACTTCCCATTTTGTTGCGTCTGGGTGTGCAGTCCAAATCCGCTGGCACCCTTGTGACCCTAGTGTCGGAAACCAGACAAAGGCTGTAGGGGCACAGGCAGCAAATCCAATTCCTGATTTCGTAGATGATGCGGGAAACTTGAATATCTCGTCCACCTACCCAATACATGCACCTTGAGCAACTTGCCACCAACATCGAATAGCGCAAGGAGAGCTGTCACAGGTGGGTGAGCCATCACAGAACAATATACAATCAAGAAAACATAGAGTTTGGAGATCAAAAACCGGTCATAATATGATGGAAAGTGAATTAGATTTAGCCACGTATTGACGGTCACAGGGATCGCAGGGTTTGGGGCCGTTGTCCTCGCATTTGTGGTCCCTTTTGACCTCTGGATCTTTTTAAGCTTGAAAAGCAATGTCACACGGATTGCGTGGCTCGAGGTCGTGATCCTCGTAATGTCGCTTTTTAGACCCTCGGACCCTCTCGGCGTTTCAAAAGTATCGACGGCCACAGGGATTGTGTGGTGGGGTCGTGATCCTCGTAACTGTTGTGGCTTTTGTGCCCTCTGACCCTTTCAATATCTCAAACGTGTCGACAGTCGCAGAGACCGCAGGTGGTCGGGGTCGCGATGATTGGAACTGTCGTCGTTTTGGGACCCCTGATGATGAAAAATGGTGTTCAAAACATGATTCATGATGGAAACAGGATGAAAAACGAGAATGATGGACAGGATGCGCATCATGACAAATGAGGAACATTGCTGGACAATTTGAAAATGATGAAACATGATGAATAATCATCGAAACCATGACGTGTGATGAGATCTCATGAATGATGGTGGATGATGATAAAACAATGATGAAACATGATGAATGACCATCGAAATCATGCCGTGTGATGAGATGTCATGGATGATGGTGGATGATGATAAAACATCATCAAGATAGTAAAAATGATCAAAGATGACGAGAAGCGATGAAACATGATGGAAAGATGACAAAATGGGACTTAATTTGTTTAGATTGCCTAGGTTGATTCTGCTCTGGAATCAATATGGGTAGTACTTGCATTCAATATTCTTGCATGCTCGAGGAGTAGATACATAATTGAAATGAAGTAGCGACGATACAAGAAAATGTACCAATTAGGTTGAAGGCTCACACGTCAAGCTTTTCTACAGATGCTTGCGTGCATTTGCTTTGCGACAAATCACCACCTGCGGGGTCGGGAGCGCCTCCCCATTTGCAAATCATGCAAACGACGGAAGATGATAGGACATCATGAAAATGATGGAATTGGGGCAGACATGATGAGCATGGTCTTAAAATGATATGAAATACTGGAATATCATGAGCAGTGATGATCATCATGAAAAAACAAATATACAATCAGAAACGATAAGGGTTGAGACATGATGATGATAATGATGATGATGATGGAAAATGGTAAATGATGGAGCTTGACGAATGTGATTAAGTATCATGAAAGATCCAACATGTCGAAATATGATGGAAGACGATGAATATTGGTGCAGAATCATGAACATTATGGCAAGTGATGAAAATCATGAAAATAATGGACAATTATGAACGCCATGAATACTGACGGACATGATGAAAATGCGATGAGAACGAAGAAAAATATCATGCACCATGATGGAAAATCATGACATGTCTTTCTCCCATTGTGTATTTCATTCCTTGCGTTTTCATGCCTTCCTTTGTTTTGTTCGTGTTTTTTTTTCTTTCTTTCTTTCTTTCACGCTCGCTTTTTCGTCCTTTTGTTCGGCTTGCCAGCATATCCAGAAAGTTGGAGGAAAACTTTGTTTCTGGTGGGACAGCCATCGCAAGGAGGGGGGGTGATGATTGCCGTTCATGGATGTTGGAAGAGGATTTTAACTGACGCAGACATCTTAAGGACCTGCCAGGTCAGAGAACTCATACATCGGAACACGGCAACCTTCCTTGCTTCGGTGCTCACAGCCCTTCAACGTCAGCACTCGTTTGCCCAGGATAAAGACACTGGAAGCCATCCGAGCGTAGACTCTGGACAGTTGCCAAGACCATGAGATTGCACATGAAGAAATTGATATAAGCTCATCAAAGTCTGAACCTCCAGATTTCAACGTGTAGCGTCAGAGACGTCCTGCAGAATTTGGCCTCATCTTAGCCAACTGAAAATGTGTAGCTAGAAGTCATGAACAGTGATTGACACTCTCGTGGGTCAAAAAGTGGCTCAACTTGTCTTGGCCGCCCTGAACTGTATAAACTACTCTGCAAGAACCACCGTAGCCCGTAACTTGAGCAACTGGCAACGTATGCGCCCGCTTTTCAACGCCATCGCTCACTTTGAAGCGGTCGCTCCTTTACAGCCAACTAGGCCGCTGTGTGGAGCATGCTGGAACTTACATCCAGGAAAGCATCAGACAAGACATCTAGGGTTCATTTTGAGGGCTGACTGCTGCTGAAGTGCGGTTTTGAAATTCTGTGATCTGCCTCGCGGTCTTGGGGTTGGGCTTCCGTACAGATGGATGCTGCAGACAGACGTTCAGAGCCTAGCTGCCGCAAACAAGCTGCAATGCTCAGATGTCGTACCGTTCAAGTGAGTGGCTTGGGCTAATGGCAAGGATTAAGTCGACGAGCTCGTGAGGTCTGAGGGAGAGTACGACAATGTGGGCATGCTGATGGGCTCCCTGCACCTATACAGTTGCAGATCCGAGAACTCTGGTTTTCAGATCCTCAGAAGACATTAGCATCTGAAATCGAGCCGTTCACCCGAGCATTAATGCCAATTGGCAGCTCACATCATGCACTCAAGGCGATCCCCTGAAAGATGGGGCTCATCTCAGGGAGATTGGAGGCATCCGTCCTGCAGCCTGAACAGCCAGGTATAATATTTTGGGGTTCTATAAGGTTTATATATAGGGATAATGGAAGAGAAAATGGAAACTACTGTAGTATATCAGGGTTATATCGGGGTCACTTCTCAAGGCGTCAATCCTGCATCACCCTCGACACTTGGCGTGCTGGCGTCCTGTTTCAGAGGGGCCTTGCGGAGGAAACTGGCTGCACAAGGCAAGGTTCCCCTACACAGCTGGGGATGCAATTGCGGGTTTTGAGGCTTGAAAAAGTCCGCGCTGGACCACATCGAGTGCTGCAGCCCTGATGAACATCGCCTATACAAGGCCTGAGTTAATGGAACTCTTTTGAGGACTTGTGGCTCTACTGTTCCATGCTAATCCTGAACATGTTTCCAACCGTCACCAGCCAAGTCGCGCAGCTACTTCCTGCGCATCGTTCGCACTGCCTTCGCCTCAGTTGAGCTGCAAAGCAACCAGGCTGGGGACTGCATCAAGTGGTCGGGCGCTGGCTTTCTCAGATTCGAGGCGTCTTGGCAAAAGATTTTGGAGGGCGGGGGCTTTTTGAGTAAAGTCTTATGCCTGGAAATTGGGGCTGATTTAATTCAAAATGCCAAAGAAGACCCCAAGGAAATAGCTTTACGCCAAGGTGGCGCGGTGCACCTAGACTTTTCACGATATTAAGAATCGTCAACCTCCAAGGGGGTTATCGAGACGAGAGACGATGCGCACCTAGACCTTTCACACGAGTCAAAATCGTCAATCTCAACTGGGGCGATCAAGACAATGCGGAATGAATCCATGGAACCCCAGGCTAGCCCCTATGAATCCCTGAACTTCCAAACTCAGCCGAAGTCGCCCCACTGCAGGTAGTGGACTCGAGCACCAGCATTCCTTGACAGTTGCCAGGCGCTCATCGTCTCTTGAAGCTGTGGAGAAGTGGGTTGATATCAGGCTGTTGTGGACCAGAAGAAGACAGGGCCTAAAAAAAACCTAATGGGGAAGTCACATGTCCTACTGCCCATGCTCCACAGTTCCGGACAGCCCAAGGGATTGTGAGGGATCTTTTCCCTTTTCCGCATGGTGAAAACCGCTGAATAACCCTGAAGATTCCGCTCATCATAAACTTGTATCCGGCAAGTCTCCAAAGCAAGACGAGGTCCAGAACGGAAAGAAGTATCTGAAATTAACGGATACAAATTTGGGCGATTTCGAATTCAGGGACCCACATGTGGGAAAGAAGATCCTCTATAGAGGGAGCCCGCAAAATGGGCCCCCAGCATCTTGAGACAAACTCCGGCAAGACATATGATACCCAAATATCGAGCCTTACGCCCAAGGCCCAAACCTCAAGTTCTTAACCCTCATCTTGGGCAACACATTGAAAACTGTGAGCCAAAGCGAGATGGGAGGGTTTCTCGAGATGATGTCACTTCTTGGAAACATTCACTTATAGCCACTCGACAGCTCAAACGTACGCTGTCTTCCCTGTTGCCGTTTTAACCTTATTCTCAAAACGCTGAAACTATAGCCGAAGAGCCATAATCGTCGATGAATCGCCGCGACTCTTCCTGCAATGCAATGCAGTTCTGCAAGCTGACCAATCTCTGGTGGCTGAGACCGAGACTGGTTCGCCGACAAATTGCTAAACTGTAATGAGGCTTGTGGAATACAACGCAGAGTATCCATCTTAGCGGAC